CATATACTGCTAAAAGAAATAAAGAAAAATACACCCAACAAAATAAATTAGAACAAAGAATCAAAGAATTAGAAATTCAGCTGCAAAACACCCCCAAAAGATTGCAAATTGAAAAAACAGATGATAATAACTAAACATAAATTTAATTTAATCGAACAAGAAGCAATGGTCTCAAAGTTAAATACAGCCAGACAGATATTTTTTGCACAGGCCAATAAACCAGGAAGGTGGTTGGCCTATAAACTTAAAAAAGAAAAACAAAAAAGATTGATCTACCAATTAATAGATGAGAACGGGGATGCCCAACAAGGGATAGAACAGAAAAAAGGAAATTGCATGTAAATTTTTTGAAGATCTTTATAAAAAGAAGGAGGTAAATGAGGATATGATAAGAAACTATTTGGGTATTACTAAAGATAAAATAATTAAGGAGGAGATGAAGGAAATGTTAATTAGAGATATTATGTGGGCCGAGTTAAAAGCAGCAATAGAAAACCAAAAGAACAATAAAACCCCAGGACCCGATGGGATACCAGGGGAACTTTATAAGAAAATAGGAGAACAAATAGGACCTCTCATGGTGGAAGTATATAATGAGGTCCTATTAGCGGCAAGAATGCCGGATTCATGGAAGGAGACACTGATATTGTTGATTCCGAAAGAAGATTCAGATTTACGACATATACAAAATTATAGACCAATTTCCCTGTTAAATACTGATTATAAAATATTTACCATAATTATAGCAAATAGATTGAAAAAAAATATTGAATGAATATATACATAAAGATCAAAACGGATTTCTTCCTAATGGACAAATTAGGAACAATTTAAGAATAGTATTAAATGTTTTGGAATACTATGAAGCCCATCCGGAAAAACAAATAACCCTTGTATTCTTGGATGCACAGAAGGCCTTTGACAATCTAAATTGGCAATTCCTAATTCAACAAATTTACAATATGAATTTAGGCACTAAATTTGAAACTATCGTGACTACAATTTATGATTCACAAAAGGCGAATATTATAATTAATGGAGAGTACACGCTCTCAATAAAAATAGAGAAAGGAGTCAGGCATTATCCCCCCTGCTCTTCATATTATCTTTGGAAACATTGCTTACACGAATTAGACAGAACCCAGGAATAAAAGGACTAAAAATTAAAAAAGAAGAATATAAACTCCAGTCATTTGCGGATGATATGGTATTTTTCATAGAGGAACCAATTGAAACAGGTCAAGAATTACTGAAAGAGTTAGATCAATTTGGGGAAGTTGCAGGACTTAAAATTAATAGGGGGAAAATGAAATTAATAATTAAAAATTTAACAGAAAAACAAAAACTAAAATTGGAAAGGATAACGGGATTACAAATAGTAAAAAAAGTTAAATACTTAGGAATTTGGTTGACAGCTCAATGCAAAACTCTAATGGAAAATAATTATAATAAATTATTACAGCAAGTCAAAAAAGATTTAGAGATATGGGTTAAATTGCAAATTTCCTTATTAGGGAGGATTGCCACTATAAAAATGAATATTCTGCCCAAATTTATTTACTTATTCCAAACAATACCAATAAAAATTCATAAAAATTACTATGTGGAACTTAACAAGATAATTACCAAATTTATCTGGCAAGGGAAAAAAAACGAGGATAAACCTAAAGGCAATGCAAGATATGAAGAGCAGGGGAGGTATGGCACTCCCAAATTGGGAATTATACTATAGTGCAGCCTCCTTACTTTGGTTGAAAGAGTGGGTAAATCTGTCGAATAAAAGGATCTTATTTTTAGAAGGCCATGATTTACAGAGGGGATGGCACGCATTTTTATGGGACATTGGAAAAAGAAAAGTATTTCCACAGACATATAATTAGAGATTCCTTATTGGCTAATTGGAACAAAATAAAAAAAAACATTATTCAAAAACCCCAATCTGGATCTCAACGATGGAGGCGATGATACATCCAAATAATCTAGATCTTAATAAAATGATAAAATACAAAGACCTTCTTGATGCGCAAGGAACTTTAAAATCATGGCAAGATCTCCAAGAACAAGGGCTACAAGTAGACCGGTGGGCTTATTTGCAAATTCAAAATAGATATAGCCAGGACAAGAAAATTTTTGGAATTTATACTAAGGCACAACAATTAGATAAAATTCTATTAGGTCCAGATAAAAAAAAATAACTAAATTTTGTAATTATTTATTAGAGATGGAATTAGAAGAGGAAGTAGTCAAAGGCAACATGATAGCTTGGAGCAGAAACATAGGACGTGGCATTACATTATTAGAATGGGAAAAGGTTTGGACAAGGAATAATAAAATTACAAAATCAGCAGCAAATAAAGAAAATGCCTATAAAACATTTTATAGATGGCATCTCTCACCCTCGAGAATAGCAAAAATGTCTCCTAACATGAATCTGAATTGCTGGAAATGTAAAAAGAAACAGGGAACATTCTTTCACATGTGGTGGTCCTGCACTGAAGCCCAAAGATACTGGCATAGAATAAAAAAATGGTTAGAGGAAATAACGGCAGAGCAAACTGAATTAAAACCAGAACTCTTCCTATTGGGGATATTTAATAGACAAATTTCTAAAAATGTCAAATATATAATACTGCATATTCTTACTGCAGCCAGAATAACCTTTGCACAGTGTTGGAAACAAGCAGATATTCCAACAGAGGAAATGGTTATTCAAAAGATAACAGCCTGTGCAGAGATGGATAAGCTAACCTTTGCACTTAAGGAAAAAGAAACATCAGAATAATATAGAAGCTGGGAATGCTGGTATGACTGGATAGAACAAAAATAGAAAATATACATAAAACAACATAAAATGTAAATCATAATTATATATTCGCAATAAGATATATTTGTAAATGTATCACCAATATTGATAACAAACAAGGAACCATGTACCCACAGGTGAGAATCCAAAGTTCCAAAGTTATTGTTAAGCCTGGATTCCCCAACGGGTGTTAAGGAAAACAAACTAAACAGAATGTGCAGCGAAGTCAGATAGGAAGACAGGTAAATGTGTGAGATAAGTTTTCTAGTTAACACGCAGTAAAAATACAGATACGCTTGTGCTATCAAAAATTATAATTTATTCCATTTAAGAATTATAGCATAGTCATTATAAACAGTCCATTAGTCAAATACCAAATTCAGTCAAGTCTTGTCGAGGATACCCTAATTTCAAAGTCCGTGTCGAATAGCCAGTGTCAGTACACATATAATAAATCTGTCCAAAACTTATCTTCTCTCCATTGAGAAATATCTTCAAAGTAATCCAACACTTCTTCTCCTCCCCGATCCAGCAAGAACGCAGTCTTCAATAAGCCAGCAAGAGCCAGAGAGTGCCTTGCTGCTTATATAGTACTTTTACAGCTGCACCCTTAATTACATTCCTTTAGCTTAAAGTCACATACACTTTATCTGACAAACCATGATTCATCATTTTATTATCTTTACCCAAAACAGTTAGGGTAAAACAATGTTATCCCTAACAGTTATAATGCTCAAACAAACGAACACAGACAATGCAGAGTTAAATGTTTCTGTTTACACAGTCCTTGGCAGTCTTCCTAGAATCTGTCTGGCAAGTCCGAGCTGACTATAAATCACGACGCTGCATCCAAGAGGGTCAAACGTATTCTTCTGAATCCCAAAATGCACTTTGCTCCAAGCAAAGATTGAGAGCCAGCACGCCTCCTTAAATCCCCTGGAGGGGCGTGTCAGTCTCTCTAATTAATCCCTGGCTTGATGTCTCCTTTCAGATTGTGATTGACATTTCAATCTTCTTCTAGTCCTAGCATCAAGCCAACATCCGTCAGTCTCTTCCTCACTCAAAGCCTCTGGCTCATTCTGTGGATCAGCTGCTGACACATGAGGTATGAATGAAGGGGAAGGTTCTGGAGAAGACCCTGTCTCCGACACTCCTTCATCCTCCTGGCTCACATCTGTGTCCTCTGATGCCTCAGACTCCAAATTCACGGCAGGCTCAAACCTTCCATCTTCAGATGCATCACATTCAAAACTCCCAGCAGGCTCAATCCTCCCAGTCACAACATATTAGTAAACAACATAAAATGTAAATCATAATTATATATTCACAATAAGATGTATTTGTAAATATATCACCAATATTGATAACAAACAAGGAACCATAGACTGTCCATAGTAGAATTGTTAGTTTTTAATCATTTTCTTTTTTCCTATTCCTTTTTCTTCTTCTGTGTTGTGTATGTGTTTGATATTTTAGTTTTATAATCAATAAAGTTTATTTAAAAAAAATATGCAACAGGTTCCTGCAAACTGCACCATCTGTTCATTTTGCCCTTTGTGCAATACTGCTGTACCCAAGCTCCCTTCAGTTCACAGCCTACCTAAACCTGGTGCTTTCAAGACAAATATACAACTGCCATCCATTCCGAACCCTGGCAAACAAAACAGCAATTCAACATCCTTAAAGACAGCAACAGAAATTAAGAGAGGAGGAAGCAAACATCACTGCAAAGTTCATACATACTCGGTGGAGAAAAGTCACATGAACTTTTAAGATGCCTTATCAAAAGGAGGGCAAGGAAAGAGAAAGTAAAAGCGGGTGTGACATCCCCAAGACTTCCACCACCACCACCACCAGTGAAGCTGGCAGATCAATCAATACGTCAGAAGGACCCTCAACCCAATCTTCCCACCGCATGTGGGCCAGGCTGTTGCTTCACCCGAATTTTAACAGAACAAATAAGAGGATGAGGGGAGGAAGCAGCATAAAGAAGGACCCTTCTTCCTTTACCACAACCCCCGCCCCCCAAATATCTATCCCCATCTCTAACTTCCCCAGGCGATACCTATCGGAGAAACCGCCCCGCCGCCGCCCTGCCTCTGTGCAATGAAATGGACCTCCCCCGAGTCGCCGCCACGCTCCTCACCCGAGCCCGCGTTTCGTAAAAGCAGCCCGCCGGGACAAACTCTGCCCTTCCCTCGCACTCGTGGGGGAAGAGCTTGCCCTTCTTCGATATGCAGTCCTGTTGGAACGCCAGCCACGGAGCCTCGCAGCTCCCCTGACGACGAGGCATAGCTTCACCGGCTTCGTTCTTTCCCCGCAGGCGCTGCCGGCTCTCCCCGATCCCCCCGAACTCCCGTCTCTGTGGCAACCAACTTCCCCAGGCGGCCCGGTCACGAGGGGCGAAGGGAGGAGGGCTCGCGCATGCGCGCGATAAAAAACCCCCCACCGCGTACCTGGAGGGTCCGAGCAGCTACGGCTGAGACAGTAACAGCTGCTCTGCGGCTCACTGACCTGAGCCTTCACCCTCCCTCTTTTCGGCTTTCCACTAACTACTAAAGCACAGGACGTCACTTCCGCTTCCTCTTAGACGCAAGTGGGGAGGCGGAGCGACCTTGGCTCTTTAAAGCGGAGGGATCTTGCCTGAGAAGGCATTGCACGTGTGTGTACATACATGTATTTATTTATTTATTTATTTATTTGATTTGATTTGATTTGCCAATTGTTTACAAGATAATAAGTATAAGTGTATACAAAGTTGTGAATACATGAAATGGGTACATATAAGAAAAATAAAAGAAGAATAAGAGAAACAATAGGACAGGGACCTTTTACAGACCTTTTAGGAAAGGGGTGAGGTCAATAGTAGACAGTCTAAGGTTAAAGTTTTCCTCCTCTCTACTCTTACTCAGTTTCATTATTATTGTTTCATCTATTTCTTTCTGACTTGACCACCATCATTCCCATTCTATACTTCTGCAAGGTTCCACTAAATCTCCCAAAAACATAAACACACAACACATATAACATAAAAGAAAAAAAAAAATCTTTTAGGAAAGTAACTTGGCCCCAGATATCTCTCTCTTCATGAACTTCAATTATATTCATGCTCATCTTGCATATCATTACTTATTTTATTTACCATTCTAAGTCTTCTATATTAACTTCTCCACACATTTCACTCTTCTTAATTCTATCTTAATTAATCCATCTTAATTTGAATCATTACATTTGTATCTTTTGTCCATTCTTTATTGTCCCTTATAATAAAAAAAAAAAAGAGAATTTCTCCTGAAATCACTAATCAGAGTATGATGCCTTTCTGTCTCCCCTCTAAATTAATCAAATTAACATTTAAAATAACACCCAGTACCCAATCCGATTCTGCTTGGTACATTCTATCTAAATAGTAAATCCAAAATAATTAAATACATAGTTAAACAGTAAATCTAAATGTTGAATCTT